GTATAGGCTCAGTTATGCTATAATAACAAATTACTCCAGAAATTTTAGAGGCTTAATACCACAGAGGCTTATGTCTTGCTCATGCTGCGTAACTTGTGAGGGTTGACAGGGAGCCTCTGCTTCATACAATCACTCTGGGACCTAGGTTTCCAGAGATTTCACTTTCTTTTGATTACACCTTCTGTAACACGTGAACTCCTCAGTCACTGCAGCATGTTAAAAAGATGCAGAGAGTTTTCTCCTCAGCAATTAAATACCTATACCAAAAATGACACGTGACATTTCTACTAACAGTCCAATAGCCAGAATAAATTATATGACCCTGCCTAGTTGTAAGGGGGCTGAAAACTGTAAAAAACAAAAAACAACAACACATGGAATATGTTGTATAACTAATTCTCCTCAATTTCTTCCTTTGATATAATTCCTTCAGCTTTATATTTAACAAAGAGTTTTCAAAGTTATAATTATCAAGAAAGGTACCCTTCCTATTTTGCAAGTGTTGATAAAAATGTAGTCATTACTAACCTTAGACTTCAGACTTTATTATGTTCACCAGAAATATAATTTAGCTTATTCTATAATAAAAATTAATTTTTATTTTGAATATTTAATCAGCCAAATGGCCAAAATCAAAACTTCAGTGTATTTAAGGCTTCGTCTCCCTTTCATCTAGAATTACTTCTAAATTCTAAGACATTGAAAACATGCCACTGTATCAGTAAGGAGGGTGGGCACCTGTCCTCAGTCATTTTCATGTTCCCGTGTAATGAATGATAAGATGACCATCATTCATTCTGTTCACTGGTCCACACATGTAAGTACAGTGTGCTTCTATTTCCTGAAGGCTTCCAAAGCTTCCTATTTTCTCTGTTATTGCTGTGCTCCTATGGTGCACAGAGAAAACACTGGAAATTTACCAGGGATGAGATGAGAGTGAGGGGCTGTGAAACAGGCAGGGTCAGGTTCTTTACTCAGAGACCCACAAGTGACTACTTTTTCATCCCTGATAGAAAAGATGAACAGTGTAGAAACTGACAAATGACATGTTCTCCAATATCTTATGATGTAGCATGACATTGNGTGTAATGAATGATAAGATGACCATCATTCATTCTGTTCACTGGTCCACACATGTAAGTACAGTGTGCTTCTATTTCCTGAAGGCTTCCAAAGCTTCCTATTTTCTCTGTTATTGCTGTGCTCCTATGGTGCACAGAGAAAACACTGGAAATTTACCAGGGATGAGATGAGAGTGAGGGGCTGTGAAACAGGCAGGGTCAGGTTCTTTTCTCAGAGACCCACAAGTGACTACTTTTTCATCCCTGATAGAAAAGATGAACAGTGTAGAAACTGACAAATGACATGTTCTCCAATATCTTATGATGTAGCATGACATTGTTCCTAATGAAAAAGCCAAAATTCGACTCCTTTTATTTACATTTTACTTAACAACCGTTATCTGGGGCTATAAGCTCACTGAATCATAGAGGAAAGGCAAAAGAAACATGAGAAAAGGAGAAGAAAAATACATACCAGTTTATCAAAACGTTATTCTGTAATCTGCTGACCAAGTACTCATGGCTGATTTCTTCTGTGTGAGGTTGTAATATTCTGCACCGTGCCACTATGTATGTCATATAATAATACCTGACTGTCCAGTGTTTATTAGGGATCCTGGAACTGAAATTTTCCTGCAATAATGTGTGGCCCAATCATATTCTCGACCTTAGAGTTTTACTTAGAGATTCAGGTGTTCCCAGGAATAAAATCTTAATATGTATTTTCAGAAGTGGTGGTGATGAGAAAGGGGACTGTTGTTATTTGTTCATTTATTGGTTGGTTGTCACTTTAGAAGACGCATGTTGTCCATCATTTGAGGGAGGTGACTTATCAGTTGTAAATGTAATTCCCTCTGTCCCTTCATCTACTTCCTGGGAAGGAAGCCCTATCATTATGTTTCTAAGGAGTTATTTTCCAATCTTCCTGCCTATCAAAGATAGACAAGTAGATTATGTTTTCATTTTGGTGGAGGGTTTTTTAGAAGAATAAGCACTTCTTGAGTTATGGATCATTAATAACTCTTCTTTATGTCTGAATAATATTCCATTATATGGATATAGTATATATTTTTTATCCTTTCTTCAGTTGATGGGCATTTGGGTTATTTCTACTTTTTGATTATTAAGAATACTACTGCTGCAAACATTTATGTACAATTTTTATAAGAATATATATTTTCATTTCTTTGGGGTATACATCTAGGAGTGAAATTGCTTGGTCATATGGTTACTCTATGCTCTACTCTTTGAGGAACTGCCAAACTATTTTCCAAAACAGTTATACCATTTTAAATTCCTACTAACAGTGTATGAAAGTTTCAATTTCTCCACATCCTCACCAATACTCGTTAGCGTCCATATTTTTTATTAAAGCCGTCTAATGAGTGTGAAGTGTATCTTTTTTTTTTTTTCCAGGTGTGAACTAATTTATTACGGACCTGTTCCCAGGAGAACTTGGTCAAGGAGTGAAGGAAACAGAAAGCCAAATTGGGTAGGATTTCAGAATAAGTCCTTGGAGGGCTGCCCAGCCTGACTCAGCAGGGGATGCTGGAGGTAAGTGATGGGCCCCATCTTATCAGACTTTTGATTTGCATTTCTCTAATGACTAATGACAGTGAGAATCTTTTCATGTGCTTCATGTGAAGATTTTTGTATAAGTACAGTTCTCAAATCGATTTGGTAAATATACCTAGAAACACTATTGTTGAAATATGTGTTAAGACTGTGGTTTCTTTATCTTAACTCAATCAAATGAACGTGATACAAATTGCAACCGATATTTGTGGAATAACTCCTACTTGTTACATACTATAACAGCTAGTGGTTTGTGAGCCAGAGAGGAGGCAGGAAGCTCATATTGCCCTACTTAGTTCTTCCCTGAGTGTGGGGAGGAGAGATATTGCCCCCTAGGGGAGTTTGGCAAAGTGCTAGGGTATTTTTTTGTTGTCACAATGGCCAATATGCGTTAGAGGCATTTAGTGTTTGCGGACCAATCAACGTTGTGCAGTGTGTGAAAGAGCCTTTCTTGCATGATTAAGAAATGCCCTATCTCAAATGTCACAGATTAAAATAATACTCAGACGTATGACTCAGCAGAAACCCAAAGATAAAAAAGTAAAGTATAGAGTTTGAAATTTGCGAGTGATAAAAGCCAGTTTGGAAAGGATACAGTGGTTAACAGACAACTTTCTGGGACTGAGAGGTAAGATCTCCTTCCTCGAATTGTCCTGAGTCTTAAGTCATCTCTGGGACCTGTTTATGTTATAATTTCTATATGACAAGCCCTGAGTCCCTTAAGATTCTTGTTTTTCTTATTTATATTTGTATCTTCATTGTGATTATCTAACATTTGGATTACCTGAGTGTCTGGTTTTTGCAATCAAAAGATGGTAACTAACATTTTTTTTTTCTCATAGATATGAGGAGAGGGTGGAATTTGAAGAGGGAAGTTCAAGTTCCCACTTTACTCTGGAGTTATTCATTATAAACTGTTAGAACTAATATTTGCATTGTGGTTAAAACATTACAAGTAATTGTGATGTCTTTAAATATTTACCTGGCAAGCTTATTATTTGGGATACTTTGATTAGTTATTTTTTTCTACATGATGCTAATAAATTGGTTTCTGAAGACGCTCCAAATTATGAAATTGAAGCCAACTTCAAATTAAATATTTGGGTAGAAAAAAAAATCCAGTGCTTTGCAAGTTTATTCAAACCGTGTGATATATTATTTTAGAGGGCTTAGTATTTTGCTAATGTATTCAACGTTGTAAACCAGGAATTAGCACAGAGAAAAGTAAAAACTTTTCAATTTNTCTTCAGGGCTTTTTCATAGTTTTTGTCCCCCTCAGCACCACCCTTAGAACATAACAACATTAATATCTTTCAGGATTGACTTTGGCCCTCTAACAAATATAATACATCTTTCAGTCAAGAAGCATTTTCAACGCCACTAGTGGCAATTTGGAGATTAAAAATATGGCAGCAAAAGTATTCTTTTGGCACCATATTTTCTATTTAAAGGCCACCAAATGTTTCTTTCCGAGAGATTATATTGAGTGGTTAGGATCTTGGCATCCACTATTGTTCTAGGGAAAGATTTTCCTGGCCCACACTTGTTTTTGCTGGATAACGAATGACTAGAGTGTATGGACAGACCACTTTCCCATCTGTACTAGCCTAACTACTATCGACTGCCGTGTTGCGTCCTCTGTTGAACTATTCATGCTTAATCATTAATTTTACTTAGAGCTAATAAGAATACCTGTATATATTGATAATCTACTGTATGCCTAAGACATTACACATAATTTCTGATTCAATCATCACAATAATCTGAATTTAAAGATAGAAAAACTGATGCTTCTATATTGGAAATTTTTGTAGTTTTTAAAACAGTGCTAGAAATTTATGAATTTTGTTTGTTTTAAAAGCACAAACAGTAATTTATAAAGTGCATTTTTGTTTTTCTTCATGGAGAATGATACTAACTTTTAAAGTCCCTACTTTGTTAAACAGTGCATTAGACTTTATATTAACTATCACAATATAAGGAAAACAGGTTTAGTAAGGTTAACTATATATTTTCACAAGACTGGTAGGTAGCATATCTTGGATGCTTGCCCAGGCCTCCTTCACTCAATACACTTCTCATCTTACTATTCTTTCTTGAAATAGACTAATAGTAGCCTATGTTCCCCTGCAATATCTCTATCTATCTATCTATCTATCTATCTATCTATCTATCTATCTATCTATCATCTATCTATCATCTATCTATTTATGTATATATTTATCCGCTATCATCTATTCTATACTATTCTATACTATTCTATTATGTTTATGACTTATAATAATCCTGATGTTTGGAGAATGATATTAACCTATATCACCATTTTTCTGTTCTCCATAAGAAACAAACATATATAGGACTACACATAAATTACATCTATGATTATATATATCAACCACATCCTAAGTAAATATATATATTTGTGGTTGATACATATAATAAATCCATTCCTAAGTGATGAGCTTGACCACAGATTTTCACACAAATGTAATGTGTTAAATA